AAGTTCAAATGGTAACATCCTGATCCATCCATTGTAAAAGTGCCCATCAATACTTTACCTGATGAATTAAGGAAGCTCAGATAACCACTGTCTGAAACAGGTATCTTACTGGTCTTTGCACAATGGTCATTTTTTAATTCTATCATTTCTTCTGCATTTATGAGCTAGAGTTCTTCTGTAAAGAACTTTCTCTCATTCACCAGGGTTTTTTTGCTCTGAAAATGCTATTACATTGGCGTTGGAAAACAAGATAAATACTTCTTCCTTCTCTTTAATTATCAAGTTTTATGTTAATGAACCATTATCTTTCCATTTTTAGTTGTGTCCAGTGCTATTTCTCCCTTCTTTATACCATTACAAATTAATGCTTTTTTAAATCATTGGTGAATTTTAATCAACTGTAGTACTTGATGCTCAAATTGCTCCATCTTTGGCGCATGGGACACCCTCTTTGTTTGCTCTTGTGTCTTTTTCTTTTTGTTTGGAAACTTTCAAATCAGAATAAAAACAGATAAAATAGTATTACAAATCCCTATATGCCTATTACTCAGCAGCCTCAGCAATTCTCAATTCATGGCCATTCCCATTTCATCGTAACATCTCTCCCGGCCACTAGTCTATTCCGAAACAAATCTCAAACACCACATTGCTTCACATGCAAACACTTCAGCACAAACTCCAAGAAATAAGACCACCACCTCTAAATAAACCACCTCTGAATAAAACCTCCTGTCTTTTCATTCAAATTTCAATAGTCTTTGATAGCTTTCTGGCATAACAGCTCCAGATCTGGAATCAGCCATTTTTCTAAGAAGGCCTGGTTCTCTTTAGTGGAAAAGAACACAATCTATGGGCTAGGTGTGTTACTGCTATTGGGTAATCAGAGCTCCAAAGTCTCTCAGCAGACAGAGCTAGAAGATATGCACCTTAAAAGAGGAAAAAGTCGCCGGGTGCAGTGTCTCATGCCTGTAATCCAAGCACTTTGGGAGGCTGAGGCGGGCAGATCACCTGAGGTCAGGGGTTCGAAACCAGCCTGACCATCATGGAGAAACCCCCATCTCTACTAAAAATACAAATTGAGCCAGGCGTGGTGGCGCATGCCTGCAATCCCAGCTACTCGGGAGACTAAAGCACAACTTCTTGAACCCGGGAGTCAGAGGTTGCAGTGAACTGAGATCCAGCCACTGCACTCCAGCCCGGGCAACAAGAGCGAAACTCTGTCCAAAAAAAAAAGAGGAACAAAATACTAAGACACTCTAACACAAATGAACCCTAAAAACATGCTTAGTGAAAGAAAACACAAAATTCCACATTGTATGATTCTATTGATATAAAATGTCCAGAATAGGAAATCCTTAAGAGACAGAAAGTAGATTCGTGGTTACCAGGGGCTGGGAGGAAGGGGGAAAGGGAAGGACTGCTAATGGGTATGAGGTTTATTTTGGGGGTGATGAAAATGTTCAGAAATTAGGATTGATGGCTGCACAATCTTGTGAATATACTAGTAACTGAATTGTACTTTTTTTTTTTTTTTGGAGACACAGTTTCACTCTGTCGCCCAGGCTGGAGTGCAGTAACCCGATCTCATCTCACTGCACCCTCTGTCTCCTGGGTTCAAGTGATTCTTGTGCCTCAACCTCCTGAGTAGCTGGGATTACAGGTGTGTGCCACCATGCCTGGATAATTTTTTGTTGTTGTTTGGAATGGAGTCTCGCTCTGTTGCCAGGTTGCAGTCCAGTGGGGCAATCTTGGCTCGTAGCAACCTCCACCTCCCGGGTTCAAGTGATTTCCCTGCCTCAGCCTCTTGAGTAGCTGGGACTATAGGCACGTGCCACCATGCCCAGCTAATTTTTTATATTTTAGTAGAGACAGGGTTTCACCATGTTGGCCAGGCTGGTCTCGAACTCCTGACCTTGTGATCCACCCACCTCAGCCTCCCAAAGTGCTGGGATTACAGGTGTGAGCCACCGCGCCCGGCTAATTTTTATATTATTACTAGAGATGGGGTTTCACTACGTTGACCAGGCTGTTCTAAAACTGCTGATGTCAAGTTATCCACCCGCCTCGGCCTCCCAAAGTGCTGGGATTACAGGCATGAGTCACCACACCCGGCCTGAATTGTACATTTTTAAATAACAAATTTTCCAGACTGGGCAACATGGTAAGACTCCATCTCTACTAAAATTACAAAAACATAGCCAGGCATGGTGGTGTGCACCTGTGGTCCCAGCTACATAGGAGGCTAGGATCGCTTGAGCCTTGAAGGCAGAGGTTGCAGTGAGCTGAGATCGCAACACTGCATTCCAGTCTGGGTGACAAAATGAGACCCCGTCTCAAACAAACAAACAAACAAACAAACAAAAAGTTAATGGTAAATTTTAAGATATGTAAATAATATCTATATTAAAAAAAATTTTTTTTTTTTTTTGAAACAGGGTCTTACTCTTGTTGCCCAGGCTGGAGCACAATGGCACATGATCTCAGCTCACTGCAACCTCCACCTCCTGGGTTCAAGTGATTCTCCTGCCTTAGCCTCCCGAGTAGCTGAGATTACAGGCATGCGCCACCACGCCCAGCTAATTTTTGTATTTTTAGTAGAGGCGGGGTTTCTCCATGTTGGTCAGGCTGGTCTCGAACACCTGACCTCAGGTGATCTGCCCGCCTCTGCCTCCCAAAGTGCTGGGATTATAGGCGTAAGCCACCATGCCTGGACTTTAAAATGTTAATTACATGAAAAGTTTTTTTAAAATAGTGGCTATTGTAGTAGATGATCTTTCAACTCTGACCCAAGAGTCTGTCTTCTACCAGAAACTTGGAAACTGCTGCAGGCCAATTTATTAGTTTGTAATCAGGGTAAAATCTCAGACGTTTCAGTTTTTTTGTTTTTGTTTTTTTGAGATGGAGTCTCACTGTGTTGCCCAGGCTGGAGTGCAGTGGCACAATCTTGACTCACCGCAAGCTTCACCTGCCGGGTTCACGCCATTCTCCTGCCTCAGCCTCCTGAGTAGCTGGGACTACAGGTGCCTGCCACCACGCCCGGCTAATTTTTTGTATTTTTAGTAGAGGCAGGGTTTCAGCATGTTAGCCAGGATGGTCTTGATCTCCTGACCTTGTGATCCGCCCGCCTCGGCCTCCCAAAGTGCTGGGATTACAGGTGTGAACCACCACACTCGGCTCGTTTCACAGTTCTTGACACGGCATTAATGTTATCATTAGAAATTTCTTTTTCTCTTTTCTTTGTTTTAAGAGACGTGGTCTCACTATGTTGCCTAGGCTGGTCTTGAACTCCTTGGGCTCAAGTGATCCTTCTGCCTCAGCCTCCCAAAGTACTGGGATTATAGCTGTAAACTACCATGCCTGGTCTAGAAATTTCTTTTTAAAACCCTACTCCTTCTCTAAAGCACAACTCAAATCTTTCTTATGAGGCTGGTCCAAGTTGGAGTCGAAAGAAGGCACTACGGGGAGGGCTGCTGCTTTCTGTGAAGGGGATGAGGATGAAACGTTCCCTTACCATGATGTGGGACAGTATGGCCAAGCAAGCCCCAGGTGCTGGGCTCTGGAATGGGGTCTACTGGGTAGGGGGGAAGAGAAAGGTGGCAGGACTGCTCAGCATCTTACCTCCCCGGACCACTGCAGGACCCACATGTAGGGCTCCTCTGCCCACTGCACTGTCAAGTAACAGGTTGGAGCAGCCTGCCAAAACGGGGGAGAAGAACCAGCCCCAGTAGGCTCATCTATCAGGTGCCAAGAATCCCCCAGCCTGCCCCTTTGATTGAACATGATTTCATTTATTGGATCACAATGACTTACTATGCTCCAATACCATTTTCTTCTCTCTGTCAGACAAAACATAATGGTCCATCTCTTATTTGGTGAGTTATTTCCATATCTTATCGGTTACATGATTTGGCACAAAGCAAAGAACATGGGACTTGGGAGCAACTGAACCTGGATTCCACTCCTGGCTGACCACTCACTAGGTCTGTGTACTTAGCTGAGGGATGTGACCTCTCAGAGCCTTGGCTGTCTCATCTCCAAGATGGGGGCATTACCACCAACCAGAGTTACAATAATAATTTAATAAAATCACATGAATAAAGCATTTAGCTTACTTCCTAGAACATGCCTGACAGTTAAAATATAGTAAATAGTGTAAAGGAATAAAGTACAACTGGGCGGAGATGATTGAGTGGAACTGGTTAGCAAGGGAAAATGGAGACAAGAAAATTGTGAAAAATGTCTGCCATGCTGCAGGGGATCCACAAAGGTTAGTTTCTCTCATCCTTCTTCCAGGATTGAGCTCCTTGAGGGCAAGGACTAGGCTGTTTATCTTTAAGCATGACAAACTGGGGGCACAATATTTTGCATGTAGTAGATGCCAAAAAAAAGAGTCAGGCGGTGCTTCAATTCAATAGACCACACTTCCATTCTCCTTTCATCTGTATTTCAAATATACTTACTACAAAATTTAAGCACTTATATTGTTTTATAATTATTTCAGGTTTGTTGGTCTGGCCTCTCCAAATAGACAGTAAGGTGCCTGGGGTCAAAAATACGATTGCTTACATTCTACTCTCTAAGTCCCACTAACACAGCACTGACTTAACCAGCTCATTTCAAAGTCAAACAGGTGTCATTTTTTTTGGCTGAAACCAACTACTCCCCCTTACCAAAGGATCAGCACCTGAGCCCTAACAAGGTCCCTTCCTAAAAGAAAGCTGCCTCAACCCAAAGTGACAAGAAGGCTGACCAACCCTCCAGGTATACAGGGATAAAGAGTGGGACTAACTGTCCGGGATGCCAGTTTAGCATTTCAGTGCTAAAACTGGGAAAGTCCGAGGCAAACTGTGATGCATTGGTTACCCTAGTCACCAACCAGTGACTGTCTGCACTATCATAGCTCTCAAACGTCTTTAAAAACTGGGGAAATTAAGTTACTGGCAGGTTACTAAGTCATATGGGAGGGCCAAGGAAGATAAGCAGCCTATTGTGAAGAATACCTTAGAAATATCCAGTGGAAGATTGCCAACATACACCTCTGTCTCTCTTTTCTTGAATCCTAAGAAGAAAAACAGCATTAAATGGCAGGCATACATATGGTTACAGGATTCAGAGGAGTCAGAACACATAAGTCACTTTTTGTATTTCTTTCTTTCTTCCTTTTTTTTTTTTTTCCTTGAGACAGAGTACTGCTCTGTCACCCAGGCTGGAGTGCAGTGGTATGATCATGGCTCACTACAGCCTCGACCTCCCACGTCTACACAATCCTCCCACCTCAGCCTCACAAGTGACTGGGACTACAGGCACATGCCACCATAACTGGCTTTTTTTTTTTTTTGGTAGAGATAGGGTCTCTCTATGTTGCCCAGCCTGGTCTCAAATTCCTGTGCTCAAGCAATCCTCCTACCTCAGTCTCCCAAAGTCCTGGGATTACAGGCGTGAGCCACTGCACCTGACTTCACTTTTTCTTCAATGTTAAAATATTCCCATGCACATACACCCCTACAAACATCCCCCAACCCCCGTGAACACTGAATGGCTATACTGTACCCAATCATTCAGCAATACTTATCAATATTAAGGAGTGGTCCATGATAAGTGCTGGCCGTGCATATCCCTGCCCTCCCCCCAGCAGGGGATCACTCTGCAGGGACCTAGAGCCATGGGCACATCAGGAATCCAGCGCTTGCAATCAGAGAGGTAATTATGAAGTGTTTCAGGACCCATGGGGTTGTGCTTCCCGAGTTAACACTAAGCTGATGGTGGGGAGCATGCAGGGACCCAGGGGAATGCAGGAGGGAGGCTGAAGGGAATCCAGGCAGAGGGAAGAGCCCATGCCAGGACATGGAGATACGAAAAAGCTCAGCACATTTGGGAAATTGCTCACAGCCAGGACTAGGTGCCAGGTGGATTGCACACTGCATGCAATGAGTGGTGAGAGAGGAGGCTAGAAAGGCAGGTGAGGCCAAACTGTGAAATAACAGAAGGTTGTACCACAGCAGTCACAGTTTATTCCACTGGCTGGGTGATACGGGTGAGGGCTGTAACCGGTTAGGGGGTGTCAATAAACCTCGGTTTCAGAAAGATCACTTTGGAGATGGTAGAGGGAAAATTGGAAGAAGGCACAAGTGAAACAGAAGCACGGGATTAGGTGCAGCAGGTGCACCAGGGAGTAAGGGTCTGCATCGCAGCAGTGGCAGGCGTCACAACCACTATGAGACAGGAAACATGGTGGCTGACTAGAGGAAAAGCAGAATTTAGGCAGATCCCAAGTTTCACACTGAACAGAAACTGGGCAGACTGGGAACCATTAACTGGGATCCAAGTTGTAGGATGAGAGTTCCAGCACCAGCGAATCCCCCAGCCTAACTTACCTGGAGATTTCTGCTCTCCCAACACTCCATTCTTCCCAAACAGTTTAGCAGACAGTTGGGGGTCACTACTATTCCAGGACCTGTCAAACACAGGTGTCAGCATTGAACCTCCCAAGCTCAGATTCCGACAAAAGGAAACATGTGCCAGGCATAACCAGAGGGGCCTTGCATAAACCTCCATTCCCCTTCCTGACCAAGGACTTCCCTTTCTCTTCCCAGAATCAGGTTCCAAGCCAGGAAGACCTTCACTAGACCTTTTAAATCACTAACAGTTAAAGTATACTTAGGGTTAGGATTGACTGGCAAGAGATGCCAGTCTTAAGACCGGGGCATGGTGAGACAGGAATGGGAGAAAGAGAAGGCTGGGGGATGGAGTGAGGCTTGTTCATTAGCAAAAGGAAGTGACTTACATGCTGCAGTTGCTTTCCAACAGGATCTCCTGCAAAGCCAACCGGCCACAGTTAGAGGAATGCCAGGATAGTTCACCATCATGTAACCACTGAATAGGTACTGTGGTAAGCAGAATAATGCCCCCTCCCCCGACCAAAAGTGGTCTACATCCTAATCCTTAGAATCTGTGAATACATTAGATTCATGGCAAGGTTGCAGATAGAGTTAAGGTTGCCCATCAACTGACAAAACAGGCCCGGCACAGTAGCTCACGCATGTAATCCCAACACTTTGGGAGGCCAAGGCGGGTGGATCACCTGAGGTCAGGAGTTCGAGACCAGCCTGGCCAACATGGCAAAAACCTGTCTCTACCAAAAATACAAAAATTAGCTGAGTGTGGTGACAGGCACCTGTAATCCCAGCTACTCAGGAGGCTGAGGCAGGAGAACTGCTTGAACTCGGGAGGCAGAGGTTTCAGTGAGGCTAGACTGGGCCACTGCACTCCAGCCTGGGCGACAGAGTGAGACAACGTCTCAAAAAAAAAAAAGAGAGAGGTGATAACTGAAACAAAGTTAAAGCGATGTGATATGAGAAGGACTGGACTACTGTTGTTGGCCAGATGGAGGAAGGGGTTGCAGGCCAAGGAACGCTGGCAGCCTCTAGAAGTTGGAAAAGGCAGGGAAATGGATTCTCCAACTAAAGCCTCCAGAAGGAACACAGCCCTGTCGAAACCTTGATTTTAGCCCACTGAGAAGTGTGTCAGACTTGTGACTTACAGAACTGTGGGATAATATTTGTGTTGTTTAAGCCACTAAGGTTGTAGTATTTTGTTATGAAAGCAAATAGAAAACAGCATGAGCAACTTTAAAACCACACATAGTTCCGCACAGTGGCTGGCCTGTGGAAATAACAGAACTTTTGGAGTTAGATGCATCTGTGAGTCCAGTTTAGAGACCTTGGGCAAATTTCAACTGTCAAATCAGAATCAAAACACCCATGTCATAGATCATGGCAGTGAACTGAGACACTGCGCTTAAAGTACTTTTCAGGTGTCAAGAACTCAATGGTAGTTATTGTGTTTATTTTTATGGTTTTCACGGGCACTTTCCTACAATTCCGTGAGTATTATCTTCCCATTTTACAAATGAGAAAACCAAAGCTCAAGGATATCAGGTGATTTTATAAAATTATAAAAGATACTGAAGTAACTCAGTCCTGTGATTCCAAAGCCTTGGTTCTCTTTCTACAGATTACAAGGCCGTCAAAGTCATTTTAAAGGGATTTTTTTTTCCTGTACTTTACAGAAAACATAAATTAAAACATTAAATTTTAAAATAAAACAGTAACTCTTTTCTCTAAATTATTCCCAGCTGTAGGAGAGAACAACCATTTTAGCTGCAACCAATTCTAAATAGAACTAAAAGTAGTTCGGATAATTAAAAGACTTAGGTATGGATGGATAAAAATGGAGAGAGAGGTTTGTAGGCAAAATCAGAGATACAGGATGTTAGTCCCAGTTCCTGGTAATCCCTGGAAAAGCCTATGGGCTTCTGGAACAGAACAGGCACTGAGACCTCCCAAGCCAAGGCCCAGCATAAATCTGTCCAAGATGCCTTTAAGGGCCTGCCAGGTACTATGCTAAGCAGCTAAAACACATTCTCATTTAATCCTCACTCAAATTCTAAGAGGGAGACATTGTTAACCCACGTTACAGATGAAGTCCCAGAGGTGCAGAGGTGATGACCTAGTATCTGGCCAAGATCACTTAGTACCCATGCTCACAAATGGGAGAAGCCTGTTTTTGTTGTGAATCCAAACCATATGACCATATGATTCCAAAGTGCTGAGTTTCTTTCCAATCTATTGTTTGGTCTGGAGAAGTATCCTATTTGCGTAGTTTTTTTTGTTGTTGCTTTTTGTTTTTTTGTTTTTGTGTCACCCAGGCTGGAGTGCAATGGTGCAATCTTGGCTTACTGCAACCTCTGCCTCCCATGTTCAAGTGATTCTCCCACCTCAGCCTCCCAGATTGCTGGGACTACAGGCACGCACTACCATGTTGGCTAATTTTTGTGTTTTTAGTAGAGACGAGGTTTCACCATGTTGGCCAGGCTTTATTTGTGTTTTTAAAAAGACCTAAAGAATACATAAGGTGCTCTTACGACTCACCAACAAAGACAACAAATAAACCGATTAAAAAGTGAGCAAAGGATCTGCTAGATATTTCTCCAAAAATATACAAATGGCCAATAAGCACATGAAAAGATGCTCTGCATCTTTGGCCATTAGGAAAGTGCAAATCAAAACCACAATGATAACACTTCATATCAATCAGGGTGGCTAAAAGCAAGAGATACAGATAACATCCTGTATTCCTAACAAGTGTTAAGGACATGAAGAAACATGTCCTTAACTTAATGCTGGTAGGAGTGTAAAACGGTGCAGCCACTTTGGAAAAGTTTAGCAGGCTCTCAAAAAGTTAGACAGGGAATTACCATATGACCCAGCAAGTCCACTCCTGGGTATCTATTCAAGAGAAATTCAAATATGTGTCCACACAAAGACTTTTCCACAAATATTCATAGTAGTGTTGCTTATAATAGCCAAAAAGTGAAAACAATCCAAATATCCATCAACTGATGAATGAATGAAGTGCGGTATAACAATACAATAGAATATTATTTGGCGATGTAAAAGGAATGAAGTAGTAATACATGCTACACAACCTGGATGAATCTCAAAAATGATGCTAAGGGAAAGAAGGCCACATATTGCATGATTCCACCTCTCTGAATAGACAAATCAGTAAAGATAGAAAGTAGATTAGTGGCTGTCCAGGATTGGGGAGGCAGAGAGGGAAATGAGGAGTGACTGCTGACAGGAGATCTCTTTTGGGGGTGATGGAGATGTTCTAAAATTAGATTGTTGTGATGGTTGTACTATAAACACACCAAATATACTGAAAACACTTGAGGTGCACACTTAGAACAGGTGAATTTTATGGTATGTGAATTATATCTCAATAAAGCTTTAAAAAAATGTCAATACGCATTTTCAAGAACGGTCAGTATGAGCACGCATTTCTTCAGCTTTCCAACCTCACAAACCACCACCCACACAAATGAGGCCGTCCACAGCCGGGATCATTCTGTTTCCATGACTTGTATATGAGGACTCAGTGTTGCTCAGCTCCTGCAGCACATTTAGTTTGCTAAACTAAAAGATTTCTGTTCAGCAAACTAAGTTTAAATTTCGTTTCTTAAACCATAAAGTTTTTTTTTGGCTTTTTGAGACAGAGTCTCGCTCTGTCGCCCAGGCTGGAGTGCAATGATAGGATCTTAGCTCACTGCAACCTCCGCCTCCCGGGTTCAAGCGATTCTCCTGCCTCAGCCTCCTGAGTATCTGAAACTATAGGCGCGTACCACCACGCCCAGCTAATTTCTGTATTTTTAGTAGAGACCGGGTTTCACCATATTGGCCAGGCTGGGCTCGAACTCTTGACCTCAGGTGATCTGCCCGCCTCGGCCTCCCAAAGTGCTGGGATTACAGTCGTGAGCCACCGCGCCCGGCCTCAGAAAGTTTTTAAAGGGCTTCGAAGGGACGGAGGAATGGCACAGGCGTCTTTTCCCATAAAGAGGCCACAGTTCTGCACATGGCGCTCCCCGCCTGCACAAATAAGGACTAGGAGGGCCGCTCCCACCCGGGGCGAGCAAGCGACGTCCCCGCGGGAACAGCGACCCCTTTCCCCCGTCCATCGGGACGAGGGCGTTTTCCATAGCTGCCTGCCGACGCCCCTCCCTCCCAACCCTCGCCCGGCAGCCCGGGACCTGGGAACAAGTCATACCTCGTCTCGCGGGCCACGCGCGTCCACCTGCGGTCACGACGCCCAGCCTTCGCGCCTTCTCCCTCCGCGCTCCGCCCCCTCAGAGCCCGGGGGCACGGGGCGGGGCTTGCCGGCAGCCAATCCCCAGCGGCCACGGGGGTAAGCGCCTCGCGGCGCCCAGGACCGTGTACCGCGGGAGAGTAACGGAACTAGCGCAGGAGCTGGCGACCGTTGTCCCTGCGCCCGACCCTCAGCCCGCAACCTCTGCCCTACCGCCAAAAATAACGTTTGCAGAAAGAGTGCAGCGGAGTAGGTGGGCGAGGGGCGCCTAGCGCAGTGCGGGCCAAGGGGCTTCCTTCCTGGGGGTGAGCGGCGCACGTGACACACTCCTGGGCGCGTGTGAAGGCAGCGCCCGGCCGAGACCGGCACCGTGCAGACGTGGGCTGTCGGCGGCAGCAGGGAGCTCTCCGCACAGTGGGGCGCGGCTGGTTCGCACGTGCGGCCGCCGCCCCTTTCTCCCGACCTCGTAGCCTCGGACCCGCCTCTCCCGTGGCGCTCACCCCGCCGCCCCTGGCTCTGGGCAGGAGGTGGCGGGGCTGGGAGGCGCCAGCGGCGGAGGGGAGGGGCGCGCGAAGTTGATGGGCTGTCCGCCGTCCGTCCACCGTTTGTCACGGCGCCGAGGACACTCCCGCCGCCTCCGCTCGGTCCCCTCTGGTCCCTGGGAGCGTGGGCTGGGCCGCAGGGGGCTTCCGTGGGCCTGGCCTCTCCCACCGCGGGAGCAAAGAGCAGGGGGAAGCCCCCGGCGCCCGCTGTCTCCGAGAGCCACGGTGTCCTCGGGACGGGCAGGCGTTGAAGACGAGCCCGGGCGGGGCCCCCGTGCGTCGTGCCTGTTG